GAACTGTGTAAGGAATTCAAAGCCAGACAGAGCTACCTAACAAGATGCCTAAAACCAAAAATAGCAATAATCTGTCTTACTCCAAAGGAAATTTAAATGACCTAGGATATGGTTGTAAAAAAGAAAACAAAACTGTAAGGATAAAATAATGGAGTCTGGAATGAAGCTGTTTGGGTCTGGGGTAACTCAGAGATTCACCATGACCATGAATACATTTTAATAAGAAGCTTTATTAAATTCTGGTACTAGATACTCATGGCACCACGACTGCAACCAAGAGCGTTCCCAAGATGCAGCATCCAGTCTTATCAACCCAAGGCTTATAAAGTTACAAAATTACATATATTCTCTCTACAAGGAGAGGCAGGGTCTAATTTTACGTCTTGCTGTTGAGCAGAGTTTGACTACAAAAGCAGAAATAGCAGTTAGTCTTATGACCTGCTGCAGATTTTACAAGATCTATCTATTTAAGAATAGTCTTTACAGAGTGGTGGTGCAGGCCTTTGCTCACAAGACTTAGGAGGCAGAGGCCAGCCTGGTCTACAGAGCGCGTTCCAGGGCTACACAGAGAAACCCTGTCGGGGTGGGGAGGGGAGGAGAATAAGTCTTTAACTCTAGGAAAAGGGAGAGCCCTGAGAACTGGTAAGGTAAGGTAGGGGCTTACATGTTTGAGGCATTTTTTGTTTTCCCAAGCATAGTAACTCTAACTGTAATGTTAACTATCACAAAGTCAATACAAATAAAGCAATTAGACATATAAATCCTATCTAAATTTAGTTCCTCTTTGTAAGGAAAAGCTGGGATTTTTGGATGGGTATTGAGAGATTAAACAAAATTTAACCAGATGTATTTGAATGTTGCCCTGCCCCGCAGCCTAGCCTTCGTATTCCTCAAACTGGGAGCTAAATGGCAGTCTGGGTATCTCACATGGTTGGAAAATTCCAAAGTTTAGTGTACCCTCGCTCCAGGACCTGCAGACAGGCAGAGGACTAGTACCCAGTGCATTTCCTGCTCCTGGAAAACCATTTCTCGACAGATGATAAGAAAACGGAACTTGGCTGAGTCCCACTTACTGTTCTACCCAGGCTTACTGATGAAGCAGACAAGGGAAGGGGTGCAGAGCAGCACATCGACCTCACTTCCCCGGCGACCCGCAACCCGGAACTGCCCCTCCTCCAATGAACTTAGGACCTGGGCCAGTTGGCCCCGCCCTTCCGTAACGTCACTTCTGCTAACTGCGGCGTCTGCGCACTGCTACAGTACGGCGGAACTAATCTGCTGACGCCTGCGCTTTAGTCAAGCGGTGCTGGGGAAGGGAAACTGGGTCCTGCAGCATGCGTCACACCCGGAAGTGAAAGGCCGGAAGTGGGGTTGGACAGGTTGTCCCCAGGGGTGGGGAAGCAGAGGCCCTGGAGGAAGGGGGGAGAAAAAGAAGCCAGAGTATTCTGGTCACTACTCCGAATCGTGTACCGGATCTCTTAGCTCTCAGAGGCGCAGAAAAAGGGAAGGGTGTCTCATCCCGCTTCCTCGCTTTTCGCTTTAGCCATGGCGGAGGCAGGGGCCGGGCTGAGTGAGACCGTCACTGAGACAACGGTTACCGTGACAACCGAGCCCGTGAGAAAGGCGGGCGGGGGGGCTATTTAGGGGTCTGGGAGGTACTGGGAGAGAAACAGGGGTTTGGAAAGTTGGAGGGTTTGGGATCTGGAACATGTGGGGTTGACTCTTAGGAAAATCGAAAGGGAATGGGATGTTTGGAGCGGCTGAAATCATGAAAGTGGTCAAGGAACCTTTAATCCGCAGTTACAGTTAGGGCATAGGTGTTAGGATTTGGAGTGGGGGTCCGTGTATGTAATAAACGGAAACTGGGTTGAGAAGCAAGGAGGATACTAGGAAGAAATGAAAGGCCATTTGAGAAAGCATGGTTTTGGAGGCAAACGTAAAGAACGAGTGCTTACCAATAGATAGTCATGGAATGGGTGCCTGTTTAAGTGGAGGGAATGAGGAAAGAAAATAAGGTGAAGGTAGTTTTGACAAGTCAGAGGGGAGAGAAGCAAATGAGCAAATATATTTTTTGCAAAATCAAGTTAAATTGCTTTTGAAGGGAGAAAGATGTGTTGGGTTTAATAATGTCTGAGTTGCAGGAGCTTAGAAGGATAGTAATTACTACCAGAGATGCCAGGGTGTTGGAGAGCCCTGGACTTGAAGATGAGAGAGTTACCAATGACGGCTTTCTTTGGAAGAGAACAGTCTTGGATTCTTGTTTTATTTTGCTTGTTCAGATGTATGAGGAGGCAGAAGCCAACCTTGGATGTTTCTCAGGCACAGTCTATCCCCCTTTATTTCCCCCTAGTTGATTTGAGAGAGAATCATTTTTTCTGGAGCTGCCCAAATCAGCTAGGCCGGCTAGCGAGAGATCTGCTTCTCTCGACATCTCCAGAACTGGGATTGCAGACATATACCACCACTACATCTGACTTCCTTTTTAAAATATGGATTCTAGGAACCAAACTCAGGAAAGCTCTTTGCCAACAGAGCTGTCTCTGTAGCCCTGCTTTTTTTTTAATTTTTATTTTGTTTTTGAAAGAAAAGGGACTGGCTTCTGTCTCAGTCTCCTAAGTGCTGGGATTACATGCTTGTAATAAGATGTATGGAGAAAGAAAGGGAAGCTGAAGACCAGCCACAGGGAACTGAGAAAATAACTTTCTTGTACTAATACCACCAAGGATGATGTAGAACAAAGACGAAGAAACAGGGAAGGTTGTGTTTTCCGTTGAAGACTTGCAGGCACCTTCCCAGGGTTAAGAATTGTCTTTTTTTTGCATACTAGTAATTATCAAGAATAGAAATTGATATTCCTCATGAACTGGTCAAAAACACGTTCTGTTTTGGCTCCCAGCACCTGGCTCCTCCAGTGACATGGTGTGTGGTACTGACTGAGCCAGGGAAGAGAGAAGAAGAGGTTCCTTGGGAAACAGGAAAGGTCAAGAGGAGATTAGCTAGATGGGCCCATACCTCTTCACCTTACAGGAGAATCGGAGCCTAACCATTAAACTGCGGAAACGGAAGCCAGAGAAGAAGGTGGAATGGACGAGTGACACTGTGGACAATGAACACATGGGGCGCCGCTCATCAAAGTGTGAGTGCTGTGCCCAGCAGCTGGAGCCCCTCCCTCCCAGACGCCTCAGTTCCTAGCCCCTGCCTCCCAGATGCTACAGTTCTCTTATTTTCTTGGTTGGAAAGGAAAATAGATGGGGGTGATAAAACTATGAGTTAGCAAGTCTGTGGGGCAAGCCATGACCGAGTGGGAGAAAGGTGCCTCTGATTCTCTGAAGAGACAAGGAACATGGGTGCCTGAGTCCCTGCGGTGGGAGGGGGGGGGCACTAAGAAGGTCGGATTCTGGAAGGTAAGAGCAGACAGTGCTGGGAGAGAATTTTCACATAGCTGTGGAGGAAATGGAACGGACTGAACATTGTATTCTTCACCCTTTTTAACTGGTTTCCTCCCTCTCCATCCAGGCTGCTGTATTTATGAGAAGCCTCGGGCCTTTGGTGAGAGCTCCACCGAGAGTGAAGAGGAGGAAGAGGAAGGCTGTGGTCATACGCACTGTGTACGGGGTCACCGCAAAGGACGGCGTCATACAACCCCAGGACCCACCCCAACCACTCCCCCACAGCCTCCTGACCCCTCTCAGCCCCCTCCAGGACCTATGCAGCACTAAATCCCTCTCCCTGTTCATATGTCTGCCTGGCCCCAAATGTATCCATCTGGCTACATGGGGAATCAACCCATGGTCTGATCCCTTCTCCTGCCCCCTCCTTCCCTCTCCTGCCTGATAGAGAAGAGGAAGAGGAGGGTGGATAGAGACCCTGGAATTCTGACTTGCTGCTGTTCCAGAACCCAGGCTTCTGGGTTCTCCCAGCCCCTTTTTCCCTACAGTTTCCCCCCCCCGTGCCTGGGATCCAGGCATCTTGGTCTCAGTTTGTCCCTTTTGTTCTCACTGCCAAACTACCTGTCCTGGGATCCAGTTATCTTGGCCACCTGCACCCTTAGCTTGAGTCCCAAGCTCTTAAACTGGGTTTTCAACAGTCCCAGCTTCCACTGCCAGGACCCCACTCAGATTCCAGGCAATCTTGCACCCCAGCTCTGCATATAATCCTGGCTACGGTTCTTCCACTTATGCAGTTATCCTAAGTCTTAGTCCTTGCCTGTGAGATTCAAGGATTTATGGAGACCAGACCATAGGGTTCCCCAGCCCTTCCACTCCTACATACCCCTTCTGGCCCTCAAAAGGAGTTAGGAGAGGTCTTTGTCAGTCACATCTATAATGGAAAGTGGACCCCAAAATAGTCATGACTTGAATATAACATTACTGACAGAGCTGGCTGAGACCAGTGACTTAGAGCCAATGATTTTCTCAACCTTTAATCTTTGAGCTTCAGCGCTGTTGTTCAAGGGGCCTGGGTCTCTAAAAGGAAAGAGGCAGAGAGCAAAGAGATGAGGGACAGGCCCCTGCAGAGCACTCCTCCCTTTCCTGCCTAGCTTTGATGTCTCTACCAACCCAGGTGTCTTGCTCTCAGCCCTCCCCCACTGGTGCTGGCTTTGTCCTCCAGGCCTCCAGCTGTGCACAGTACCGAGATCAGCAAAGCCCATGCCACCACTGAGATCTCATTTATTGCCACAGATGCACAAAATAAATAACCTAACATTACACAATGTGTTAAATACAGGCCCATTTATACACATGGGGAGAATGGGAAACTATACAAGGATGTTTCGGATGCCTGGGTTGCTCCCAGGTTGAGAAGGGGGGTAGCACCATTGGTTCTTTTGTGTGCAAGATGAAGTTCCAAGAAGGTGTTTAAATAAAGGAAAAAGGCTATGAGCATAGAAAAGTCATAAATGTAGAGAGTAGACTGGCTTGCATATATATTCCAAATTTATATTTTAGGCTTTGGATCTGAGGGCCTTAGGTTATGAGTTAAGCATCTTATTTTAGAAGGACTTTTCTTGAGGGGAATCCTCAGAGTGGACCTCAGAAGGCTCCAGCCTTTCTGCTGCGGATCAGGCCCTGAGCCCTTTAAGATTAGAGGTAAACGCAGACTTTCCCAGGATTGGTGGTGCAGAGCCTTTCTCGATCCCTGACTGGAATGATACAGAAAGGGAACTCAAAAGGTTGAGTTAGGGCATGGAGACACAGGACCAGACTGGCTTAAAGGCACGGATGTACAAGCCAGTTTGAGGTCTTTGGGAAAAAGAATGTAAGTTGGTAAAGGGTGCTTATTAGTACCCCTGCTGCATCAGGTGTACAGACATGATCAGTGAAATAGATGGGGATTTCTGCACCAGAGAGAAGTGGCCTCAAGGCATCCGGTATAGGCTAGGGTAAGAGGTAGGGGACCAGACGCTCAGCCTTCTCCGGGCACAATGCGCAGCGGGGCGTGGTGATCATAAGTGCACAGTAGCGGGAAGATGCGCTCCCCGAGTGGGCCCGGCGCCTGGAAGGCGAAGAGCAAGTCCAAAGAGCGGCCGTCATAGAAGGCCACACGGCCCCGCTCCCAGTCCAAGTCCACACGAATGCGCTGCGGCGGCGGCCTGGCGCCGCCTAGCAGAGTGGGCTCTGGGGCCGTGAGCGCCCATAGGCGGCCGCCGCGGCCCTCCACAGCCCATACAGCCTCGGATGGGCACAGCTTGATGAGGCCCTTGCGCGTCACGGATTCCCCGGCCGCGCCCAAGGCATAGCAGCTCTCCCCTGTGTCCTCAACCTCCGAGGTAGAGTCTCTGAAGGACGGGCCCTCCACGGTCTCCACCTCCCAGCAGTGGCGGCCTGAAGCGAAGCCCTGCGCACCCAGCACGGCTGGGAGTTGGTCGAAGCGCGCTGGACTGTCCAGGGGCTCTGGCGTTCCAGGTGGAGCCAGACTCACGCCGCGGTAGTCAGAGGAGATGAGCAGACCACGGTGTGCAGTGCGAGGGTCAAGCGTCAGGTCAGCTGCAGAAGAGAGGCAGAGGAAACCCCACATGAGAAGTTTATAGAATCCAGAACGAGAAGGGTAGGGAAGAGACCGCGAGGGCACTTAGGAGAAAGAAGTGCTAGAGTTCCTTAGACAGCTCAAAGGGTTACTAGGATCAGAAAGAACTAAGGCACAGAGCAGGTGGAGGCAGGCCACCGGGTGCTATGATTCATCACTTTTGTGGAACTGGACTTGGACAAGGACCATGCTGGTCCAGGGCAGGGACCACTGCGTGGAGAAAGGAGAGAAGACTGTCTGGCTTCTAGTGTTGGTGGAGTAAGAGTAGCTGACTGGACTTCTAGGGAGAATGAGGACTAATACTGCAACCATCTACAAGGCGGACTGTGGGGGTACATGCCTTTAATCCCAGCCCTTGGGAGGCAGAGAGGGCAGCTCTCTGTGAGTTCGAGGCCAGTCTGCACAGCAAGTTTCAGACCAGCTATGGCTACATAGTTATGACCCTGTATCAAAACAAAATGAAACATAAAACCTCGAATCTGTAGCATCTGGGTGGAGCATGGGAGCCAGGTCAGGAAGACTACTGAGAGAGACTGATACTGGATAGGAACCAACTTGATTAAAGGAGGGGGAAAGGGAGGACTCCAAGGTATCCAGTAAAACCAGGCCACTCACCCTCCGAGGGGCAGGAACCGGACAGGCCCATTTCTACAGAAGATGCAGCCAGAGAAGAGACAGAGATCTTCAAAGGTACCAGAAAGACCACTGAGCTTAGAGGTATGGGGTGCTTTAAGGAAATACTTCTGGATCAAGTGGGACGGACGTGTGACTAAGGGGTAGGAATGGTAACGCGTGGAGAGCTACCTTGGGAATGGGCAAAGGCATAGGAGATGCTGGAGTCTTGGGATCCTTCTCACGAAGAGCAATGGGAGACGGTGGCAGCAGAGATTCCTGGGGGCAATCTTGTCTTGTTTGGGTGCACACCAAAGAATAAGGCTATTTTTCTGAGTTAAACCGTGCCTCCTGGTCAGGTGTGGTGTAACAAGCTCATAGCCTCCACACATTAAAGGCAGAGAGACAGGAAGGTGTGTGTGTGGTGGGGGAGGGGGAGTTTCAATTTTGTTCCCTAATTTGTTCCTGAATTCACCCTATGCAGGAAAAAGATTTTCCCAAAGGTAATCAGGTAAGAACTGAGATCATTAGGGTGGACCCAGATGCAGTATGACTGCTACCTTAAAAGGGAGAAGAGACACTTGGGCACAGAGACAGGCACATAGAATAAAGCCCAGGTAAGACTACCTGTAGGCCGAGGGAGTGCCGAGGCTTCCGGAAGCCTGGAGAGAGGCAAGGAACAGATTCCTCCAGAGCCCTCACACTCCTACTTCTATATTTTGCAGTGTGGAGGTTGCTCAAGTCGCCCATTTGTGGCACTTTGTTATTTTGGCCCTAGGAAATCGAAGCTGATACGGATGCCAAAAGGGGATTGACCATTTTTGACAGCTGACAGGGAGCAAACAGCACAGATCCCGCCTCCTCCCTCCTCACCTGTCAGTCTGTGGAGCATGTTTTTCACTACAGGGTAATCTTCAGGAAGGTCCTCGTCTGAGATGGATGACTTGGGTGCTGGGACCTCAAATCTGCACAGAAGAAGGAAGGGTCAGGAAGTTATCAGCCTTCCTGTCTTTTGATGATGGTTCTGAGGACCCCTATCCCTAACCCGCTTGCTCTTAACAGAAACAGGTGCGGCTATACTCCAGAAGAGACAAAGATCTGGGCCTGGAGAGGAGGTGATGGTTACTGTTGCAGGTAGTTGGAAGGAAGAAACAGTGAAAATGGAACTCACCGCCTCCACGTCTTCCTCATATCCTGGTATGGGCAGAAGAAAACATGGATGTGAGTGTCAGGTTCATATCGTGAGGCATCCTCCCCTCCACCTCAGGAGAGCACTGAGTGGTTGTTACCCCTCCCCACCATCTCTTAAAATGGTCTTTCTTTCCTCCCTCTGCTCCATTTTTCTCTTCTGTTCGCCCCTCTTTTTTTCATGGCCTTCCTTTCTGCTCGCTCCAAAATCACTTTCTCCTCATGCTCTTAGCTCCATCCTCGAAGGGTTCTCCCTTCCTCAGTCTCCACACACCAGCTTCTTGCGTGTGTTCCAGACAAATGTCCACCCCTTTACCATAAAAAGGGAACACACACCCATATTCCTTGAGTTAAGAGTTGTTATATAAAAGCCTCCCAATAAAGCTGCTTCCCCTCTTAAAAGCTCGGTGGCGTTTATTGGGCTCTTTTTGTTTTATGTCATCTTTACCCTCAGGTCCCTGAACTCAGAAGCGTCCCAAGAGGCCCTTAAGATTTCATAGAGAACCATGACAGCCAGAAGAGGGCGCTGGATTCTCTCCCCTCCAAACACTGGGGTTGCCCTCCTTCCCTTTTTTCTGTTGCCCAGAGAGGATGGCTGGCGAGGCCAGTGTGGCGAGGGAGAAAAGAGAGGACGGCAATTACACCTAGACTAATTAGGTCTGTGCAGTCTTCAAAGGGCGGAAGCAGGACCCAGAGCAGGAGGGCTGCTAAGGGTAAATAAACCAGACGCGATACCCTTGAGGTACTGCAAGGAATGGGAGTGGTTGATGTCCAAAGGGGCCCAGGGAGGGCCTAGTGGGGAGATTGTAGGGTTGCAAAGTGGAAATCAGCCAGAGGCCTGCCAGCTGTTCACCCGGACCTCGCCTCCGCCTGTTTCCGCCCCTGCCTGGGGACCTGGGAGGAGCTGAGAACAATAACAACTCACAGCTCAGCTAGAGCTTGTGAGGGGAACCCTGCCTCGCTTGCATCTGCCCAGCATGCCCCCACCTCATTTGCCAGTCTCTTCCTTTCCCATCCCTATTTTTCTGCACCTAGTCTCAACTTTGTCTTCAATGACTCTGTTCGTTCGGCCCTATCTCCACCCTCCCTGGGCTCCTCCTCGCCCTAACCCGAGTGTCTGTTCGCGTCGCCCCCTTCCCCCTTTCTGTCTCCCACCGGTGAGCCCGCTTAGTCCGGGCTCCAATTTCCATGCTTCTTGCAGGCAGGAGGCTTCTGAGCGTCCTATCTACCACCAGCACAGTCGTTTCTGCCTCTACAACATCTTAACCTCCAGCTCCACTGATAAGATTCCAGGCATCTGTCCGTCGTTGTCCTCCTCCTCTCCCGAGAAGTGTCAACTCCTTAAACTTTTCCTAACTTCCTTTCTCAAATTGTTCACTCAAAACTCTCTCTCTCTCTCTCTCTCTCTCTCTCTCTCTCTCTCTCTCTCTCTCCTCCCTCCCTCCTTCCCTCCCTATTTCCCTCCCTATCTCCCTCCCTTCCTCCATCCCCCCCTTTTTTCTCTTTCCCTCCCTCTCTTAAAATTTATATTTTAAATTCCTCTCTCTTTTCTATGTAACCATCTCTGGGTAACTCGCTTTGTGTACCAAGATGGTCTTGAATTTGCAGCAATCCTCCTGCCTCCACCTTCCTGGTGCCAAGCTGTCTACTACCCATATTCCTTTTAAGTGCTTTACAGTTAAAAGCACGGCGTCCACCTTTGCTAGGACACCCACAAACCTCTTCTTCACCAACAACCTGGACCCGCGAAGAAGGCTGACCTCCTTACCTCTCCGTGCGGGTCCAGGCAGCCCATGGTGGGGATGCGGCCCCCGCGTCGTCTCCCAGTCCGGGCTCCCGGCTCTGCCAGTTTCTCACGCAGGCCACGGCTGATGCGCACCTCCACTGCCAGACGCACGTTGGACCTCAGGCTGCGTCGGGGACACGGCTGGCCACAGCAGGGGCAGGAAGGGGGTGCCGCCTCCGAGCCCGGCGCCGCCGGGGTCCCCCAGCAGCGCGCCAAGCACGCACGACAGAAGCTGTGCTCGCACGCCAGCAGCACTGGGTCCTCGAAGGGGCCCCCGCACAGCGGACACGTCGCCAACTGCTCCAGACGCTCCACCAACCCCGGGCCCAGCTCGGGAGCCTCCATGGAAAGCCGGGGTCCGGACGCACCCTGGCCCGCGACCGCGACCGTAGCAGCCGCCCCCGCGGGCGCAGGTGGTGGACCACCCCCGCTGCGTGCTGACTCGAAGCCCCTCGCTGCGCCTCCCTCATTCACTTCGCACCTCCTCTCTACCCCTCTCCCGGGCTGCCTCGCTTACCCAGATCAGACTCAGCGCGTCTCCTCACCACGTCAGGTTTTATAGGGAGGGAGGAGGCCCCATGCAAGGAGGTAAACAGCAAACCTTGCGTAATGCCCCATCTGGTTCTCCCGCTTTCTTAGTTAGGTTTTGGGGAACAGAGTGTAGAGACTGAGATACCTAGGTCCCAGAGCTTAGAAGGTGAGCACCAGGGCATGCTCTGTAGGCAAGGTGGCAGTGTTGGATTTGGTAGACCCCGTGAGTGATTCCCTGAATAACGCGAATCACCCCCTTAGCCTGTGGTGTGTCTTTTGGTGGGCAGGGTGCCCAGGCTCGCTCTTGGCATACATTGCCTGCATCGCCAGAGAATGAGTCATCACAGGTGGTTGGCACACCTACCTCTGGGGGTTAGGGGCCCGGAAGCTCAGGTCCTGGACTGTGTGGCTCTGGCAGGCCTTTGAGTGTTGGCATGTGGCTATCACTCCTGGCGCCTCATCTTCCTGCCTTGCCTATTAAGGTCTGGGGACACCCAGGCTTTGGGATAAGGGCTGGAAGCAGGCGCCTACATTCCTGCCTCTCAAGTTAGGGTTCCGAATTCTCTCTCAGTCCCCTTCTCTCCAGAAGTTTCTATTTTTTCTATTCTTTTCCTTTGTGTTCTTATTTTCAACTTTCTCCTTTTTTTTTTTTTGTACCTGACAATTACCTCTATCAACTGCTGAGACCCAAACCTGGATCATCAAAAGTAGACCATACCTAGATCTTCTGACTGTGCTACAGAAGGGAATCGACTTGCCTGTTTTGTTTGTTTGTTTGTTTGTTTTAAATTTATTTTCAATTTAAATTGCAGAACCCGAGAGCTCCATTCTGCTTTCTTCTCGGATCTTTCCTTGTACCCTTGTCTCACTCCATCACCATCTCTTCCTCTCCTCATCACTCTTCCCTCCTCTCCTGTCTTTCTTCCTCTTCTTTCCTCTTCCAGATCCCTTCTCTCTTCCAAGCCTCTCTGCCTGGATACCTTTGGGCCGCATACACTGTTGTGCATGAATCATGATCATCTACTCCCAGCTTCGCTGTGTGCGCAAGCCTCTGGATGCACCCAGTTAGGACAAACACTACAAATGCTCCTCAGTGTTCTCATAGCATCATGATCAGGAGATTGTTGAGGGACAGAAGAGCATACTCAACCTAAACATGCAGAGAAGGACCTTGTCATTAGTGTTATTGTTGATAACAACAAAACAAGGCATTGAGGTTTTACAGAGCAGCAACTCTTTATTAGACACCCCCTCCAGGCATCCTTCTTCTTCCTTTCCCATAGTCACCAGAGAGGGACTCAAATATGACACCGTGATAAACAAACCTCCACAGACAAATACATGCACATTCACAAACACAGCTAAAACTCAGGAGAAAGGTTACCAAAATGAGGCTGGGTGTGATGGAGCATGCCTGCAATCCAGAACGTGGGAGCATGAGGCACATTGATTACCATGAGTTCCATGCCAGCTTGGGCTACATATGAAACTCTCTCTCCAAAAAAAAACAAAAAAAACAAAAACAAAAACAAAAACAAAAAAAAAACACCCCAACTTTTTTTTTTTTTTAAAAAAAAGACCCAAATATGATCTAAATCTGTTTTGTAAAAGATGCATTTCGGTAGTATGTGGGTAGAATGGTACCATGCCACACAAGACAGTTCATCATAATTTCTTGAAATTGAACACGTTGCCTTACTTAGAAATAGAAAATTAATTTGAGGTGATACTGTATTTGATAATCAGTTGAGCTTGAAGTAGGGAGACTATTCCAGAAGTGAGTCTATCAAAACCACAAACATTCTTAAATATGGAGAGTAAGAACGGAGAGGAGAAACAGAGCTGCCAGCACAAGATGTTCTCAGCCTGACAGTGCTGGCTTTAAACGTATATTTATATTATTTTCACTTACGTGTATGTGTCTGTATGAAAGTATGTGGAGGAGGGTTGTGGGAGACAGACGACAGCATCATGTTGCCCAATGTGGGTGCTGGGAACCTAACTCGGGTCCTTGCAAAAGCAGCTAGAGCTCTGGGCTGGCTAGCTTTATGTCAAGTTGACACAAGCTAGAATCATTGGAAAGGAGGGAGCTTCAGTTGAGAAAACGCCTCCAGTAAGATCTGACTGTAGACAAATTTGTAGGGCATTTTCTCAATTAGTGATTAATGGGAAAGGCCCCAGCCCATGGTGGATTGGTGCCACCTGGGCTGTTGGTCCTGGGTTCTATAAGAAGGGGAACTGAGCAAACCATGGCGAGCAAGTTAGTAAGAAGCACCCCTCCATGGCCTCTGCATCAGCTGCGGCCTCCAGGTTCCTGCCCTGCTTGAGTTCTTGCCCTCACTGCTTTTGATGATGAACGGTTTCATGGAATTATGAGTGAAACAAACCCTTTCCTCCACAAGTGACTGTTGGACACGGTGTTTACCACACCAATAGTGACTCTAACTAGGGCACACTATTAACCATTGAACCCTCTCTCCAGCCCCATACAATGCTGGCATTGACAACTGAGGAAGGGAGCCATGATGTAAAGAAGTGGGTGGCCTCAAGTAGCAGCAAACGCTAGGAGAATGAGTTGCTCACTCAAGCATTCATGAGGAGCCATGTCTGCTGATACCTTGATTTTACCCCAGTGAGACCCTTTCCAGACTTGTGAACTAAAGAATGATAAGACAGCAAATATAGAAACTGGAGAGGTGGTTCCACAGTTTGCTACTCCAACAGAAGACTTGAGTTAGTTCCAAGAGCCCACATCAGCTGACTCACAACTACCTGTAACTTCTGGTCTTCTGGGCACCCACACATGTGGCATGTATTCATCTACACATACACACACGTACATACAGGAGAATTTTAAAATGTTCTTTTGAAGAACAATACATGAGCTAGGGATGTGGCTCAGTGGTAGAGTATTTGCCTCGACACATCAGGCTCTGGGTTTGATCCTCAGCAGTGCAAAAACAAACAAACAAAACAGGCAATAGATGTGTGTTGGAAACACTAAATTTGTGGTCATTTTGTTACAGAAGCTGTAAAAAATTAATACATGTACTAGCCCTTTCTCCTTATCTCTTGTCCTAGTCCTTGTTGATTTTATTTTGTGGAGAAGTAGTCTTTCCCTGTAGCCTCAGGCTCTCCCAAAGTTTGCTACATAGCCCAGATTAACCTCAAACTTGAGCTCCTCTTACCATATCCTCGCTGAATACTTGGACCACAGGTATGTGGTATCACATTAAATTATGTATGTCTGTTTTATTCTGATTTCTGGATTTCACTTGGCTGTCTTATAGAGTTCCCCTGGTCTCCTGGTCTTGTCTTTCTTTTTTGTAAAACAGGGTCTCACTGTGTTCTTAGCTGTCCTGGAATTTACTCTGTAAACCTTGCTGACCTTAAACTCACAGAGAATCAGTTTGTCTCTGCCTTCTGAGTGGGTGTTTAAAGGCATGCACCACTATGTTCAGCCGGGCTATTTCATTTTATTGACTCCATTTCTACCTTCAAAGCCTCTCAACAATGAGTTCTTTCTGGATCTGGGACTGGAACACTAGAAAAACCACCCTGAGTCCCTTCAGTCCGAGAGCCTTGCCATGGCCCTCGAGGTCATCAGTGGTTCACAGCCTTGCCTGGACTTTGAAACCACCAAGTTTCTGGTAGCAGATGACACCTCCAGCCAATGGAGCAGAACCTCTGGACGTGAGTGCCAGACACCAGCAGTTTCCAGCTCTTGCGTGATGTCTTGCATCATAAGTCTGCAGCAGACCTGCCCCTCCTGTTTGGTTTCTTCTGCTCTGGCTGCAGCACCCTTCTGTTTTCTGTTCCTTGAACATTCCAAGGCTGATCCAAATGTACGATCTCTGCACTCATTGTTCCTTCACTTTGGAGGAAGCTTCATGTGCCTTTCCCCGTCATCTCATTCAGGTCTCAACCCACAGCTAATAGCGTCAGAGAGGGCTTTTGTTTTTCAGTGTTGGGGACCGATGCTGTGGTCATGCACATGCTACATCTCCAGCTCTATAGAGGGCTTCGTTCTCTTGTGTTTATTTTTAATTATGCATATGCGTGTGTGTGCCTGTGTGAGTTTATGTGCACATATTCACAGGTTCCCCGAGAAGCCAGAGGGTGTCTGCTCCTTGAAGCTGGAGTTATAGGCAGTTGTAAGGTACCTGGTGTGGGTGCTGGGAACCAAATCCTAGCCTCTACAAGAGTGGTAAGCTCTCTTACCTGCTGAACTGTATCCCCACCTCAATACCACTTCTATTCCAAGTCATTTTCCTCAAAGGAGTTAATTTTTTTTATTTATCTTCATCATCTTTATCTTGGTCTTCAATAATCTACTTACCTGTTTTCATTTCTATCCAACAGATGATAAGCCCTACAGGAGCAGGAGTGTAACCTTTCATGTTCACGACTGCCTGACACACATCTGGCCCAATGCCCAGCACAGTGTCTCAATGTCTCTACTCAGTTTTGTTGATTGGGCAAAGTGAAGATTCTCTGACTGATTCTTCTTCTCCCATCTAAGTGCCAGACAAAGACACTCTTATCAGCCAGTAGTACTTCCTCGTTGGCTGGTGCTGGGGATGGACGGTCCTGGGTGATAGAAGAACTAGAACTCAGTCTGGCTGCAGAAGCTCATGACTGCTTCCCTTCTATAACCAGGTGGGGAGGACGCCTCAACCTTTACAGCTTGGTTTCCCAACGTTCACACCTGGTGACTCTAGGACACGGGTAAAGGAAAAGGCATTTGGGTCTGGTCTCTGCCAGGAAACATTTCACTTCTCAAGACCTTCTCCCTCCCTCTTCAGACTTCCTAATGAGTTCACCTATTAATGATCCTCTGATCCTCCCCGGAGTTCATTCTATGACCATAAATGGAAGGGTGGAGTTGAGTGTGCGTGTGTGTGTGTGTGTGTGTGTGTGTGTGTGTGTGCATGCATATGTGTGTGTGCTCGCGCGCTGGCTTGGCTTTGCTTGATCCAGTTGACTGTGACAGAATCCTGCCCCTCCTTAAAGTAGGTGCCTCCTACACAGCTGTTTCCAACCCTTTCAGGATGCCTACTGTGGTGCTGTGCTATAGCACAAAACCTCTGCATGCTACTAGGAAATGTTAAA